AGAACTGCTGACAAACTGGACAGAATGTGGTTTCATTTTAAATAGCTCAGAAACTTAAGTGTGAAGATGCAAGTCTCAGATGGGAAACTGAGTAGTGAGGAAGACAGGAAGTAAGTGTTTGAGTACCTAGTATCCTCAAGGTAGCAGGACTTATGGAAAATCCTTTGACTTAGAGAGTTACTCCTAGTTAGCAGTGAGTTAGCTGGCAATGGGTTCAGTAGAAAGAGTGGTGCCTAAGACATATGATAATTAAACAGCAATCATTTTATGACAAAATAATACAAGGGAAGTAAGATGTAAGATGGATCTGGGATGATTATTTCATGGCAATGTATGAGAGTGTGTACTATAATATATCTCTTTTGTCCCGTTTTTCTTCTCTTACAGCTTCTGGCCAATGCTATCCTTTTTATCAGTGTAAATTTGTATGGCGTCTTTGTAAGAATTTTGACAGAAAGGGCACAGAGGAAGGCTTTCCTTCAGGCCAGGAACTGCATAGAGGACAGGCTGAAGCTGGAAGATGAAAATGAAAAACAGGTCAGTTGAATTGTGTTCTTATTTTTTAATTGTTTTTTTTGAGGGGGGCATTACACTGGCATGTATCAATGTCTTGCTACCCTGTATGACAAGAGGCTAATATGTATGGAAATGCATCTAGTTTCAAATTTTGTTGTGATTTCTGGGACACACAGCTGTCTTGCTCTTCACTTGTTAGGAAATTGTTTTACTCAAATTATATAAAATATTTTAATTTGCAAATTGGTTTTCAGAGTCATGCTTCTCTTCTTATTCCTGGAAATATTAGTAAGATGTGGGGGTGGGGATACTTCAGAGGAACAAACTAAACTGGTGTAATTTGAAATGAATGAGCAATATCGTCAAAGAAAACATTGAATTGATGTTATGAATAAATAGTCTTAAAGGCATTTCCTCTACAACAAGATCATTGAAGTGAAGCTGCAGAGAATGTAACTTAAGAAAGGAATGGACATTTACAGAGTTGGCATAAGAATTCCATAAAGAGATTAGTTGAGAATGAACATAATGTTATTCTTTGGTTTAGAAATATCACTGTTTGACAAAACACACTAAAAAAGCAGTCCTAATTTGGGAGGGGGAATAGCAGTTTGAATGAATTGTTTCATCAAGCTGTTTAAGTTGGCAGATCTTCTTCTTCTTCTTCTTCTTCTTCTTCTTCTTCTTCTTCTTCTTCTTCTTCTGCTTCTGCTTCTGCTTCTGCTGCTGCTGCTGCTGCTGCTGCTGCTGGGAGAAATCTTTCAATTTTTCAAGATCATTAAGTTGCTTCACCAAAGTGACAGCCAACCAGCAACTTAATGATGTTGAGAAATCTTTTCCCCTAGGTTGTACTAAGCAGGGTTGCTGTTCAGTGTGGTTGAGCCTTGTATGTGGATGCAAGAATTGCCCCAAATAACGTAGTGGACCTTGAAGCAACTTGTTTAGCACAATCAAGACTGATGCAGGCTGGGATGATTTTACCATCTGCTCACTCTCTAAAGTAACTTCCTGTACCCATTTATAACTGAAATCCCAATTCGACATCATTTCATGTTAACAATTAGACATTAGTTAGGCATTCTTCAGTTTCAAAAGACTATGGTAACGTGCTTTGTATGGAGGACTTGAAACAGCATCCAGTGTGGCTGAAGAGGCTGACTCGAGAGTGACAATCCCTTCCACACTGAAGACAAATCCAATCTGTCCCCTGTCCAGCTCCCTGATTTTGCTGCTTTTGTGACTTCCTTTTTGCCTTGGCCTGCTGGACAAGGGTCTCTTCAAATTGTGAGAGGCTGTGATGCAACGCCTGCCTCCAGGCTGAACGCTTAGATGTCAGGGTTTCCCATCTGTTGAGGTCCATTCCTAAGGCCTTCAGATCCCGCTTGCAGATGTCCTTGTATCGCAGCTGTGGTCTCCCTCTGGGGTGATTCCCCTGCACTAATTCTCCATACATGAGATCCTTTGGAATCTGACCATCAGCCATTCTCACGATGTGCCCAAGCCAATGTAGATATCGCTGTTTCAGTAATGTATGCATGCTAAAAATTCCAGATCATTCTAGGACTACTCTATTTGGAACTTTGTCCTGCCAAGTGATACCAAAAATCCATCGGAGGCAACACATATGAAAGGTGCTCAGCTTCCTCTCCTGCCGTGCACAAAAGGTCCAGTACTCACTGCAGTACAGGAGTGTGCTCAGGACACAGG